TTTGAGCTCTGGGACAGCCTTTAAACTGGTGCATGTTGGCACTTAGTTTAGAAAATTCCAGGGTTCCAAGGTACATGTGACTCTGGACACAGTTAAATTTTTATCAATTTATTTCCAGGTCTATTAACATTTTCTAAACTAAAAATCAGGGCATATTATTTGATAAAGCAGTAGCAAGCCTGAACAACCAGTTTGCATAGAAAATAGTTCACAAGTCTTTTTTTTTTTTTCTTAGAGTATTGTTTCTTCAAATATCTTATCTGGAAATTTAAATTTTAAAAAAACAGGTGAAAGCCAAAGTCTTCTGGTCAAAATGAGCATGTCCATGGAAGACGGGGGTGGACCTGGAAAACAGGAAGGACTAAGGCCAGCACCAGTCAGACAACAGCTTAAGTTAAAACACGGATTCATGCACAGCCTGGAGGGAAGCTGCTGTTTTTCCTTCAGTTAACTGAGAGAAATGTCACACTAAACTGAAACTTGGTCAGACTGTTAGAGCTCAAAGCGCAATATCTGAAATAAATACTTCCATTCCAAATAAAGTCTAAGGCAGAAACACCCAAAGAGGGGAGCTCATCTAGTCACTAACACCTGCTCAGCCTGTTTACAGAAAACACACGGAAATGAGTAATCTTGATAAATGACCACTCATGTAATTTTCTCACCTCACCATGCAAATCTGAATACATCATTAAAGTCAGAAAGTCACATATCCATTCTCTTGGCTATCGAAATAGATATATTTTGTTTTTCCAAGACAAGCAAAGCTGATTATCACTATTAATCTTTCACTACCCTCTCAATGTAAGAAGCTACAACTTTCCACACAAACCTCAACATCACAAGTGAAGTTAACCCAAGTGGCTTTTTATTCTTTCAGTCACTAAGTTTAAACATTCAGTAAGAAGGGCGGAGCATTCAAAGTCTTTCTCTTTCTAGCCAGAGCAGTTAAACTAAACCAACTGGTGCCTGGCGAGGGCACCCTCCATCATCCGAAAACGGTTCCCTCTTTACCAGATTAGCTGGCTGTTAGAAATCAGAAGTCATTCTACTTTCTTGCTTCCGTTGCTTTTTTCTATTTCCATGATAAGAATGAGGAAACAACCATCTTTAAAAATATTTTTAAAGTAACAATGCTTTCTATGACCACAGCCTTTTACAAACATCCAGGTGCTCTCACATACCTACCCTTCCACTCACACCACAGCTCTGGGGATGGGTCTCTGGCACTGAATGCTGGTTCCACTCAGTGTGCCCTTGAGGAAGTCACCTGACCCCTCCACGCCGCAGTTTCCACATCTAAAAGTGGAGACCATGACAATTCTTACGCCTCACAGGATTGCTAGGAGGATTAAATAAATCAATGTATGTGGAATCCTCAAAGCTCACCATCACCAGCCGTCTTGGTCTGGCAAAGATCCTGTAAGATGGGAGAGCAGGGAGAGCAGGGCCTCCTTTCTCCAGAGAAGAGAATCGAGGCTCAGGAGAAGCACGTGGCCCATCCAGAGTCACGGTCAAGAGGCAGAGCTGAGAACCCAGAACTAAGGAGGGATCGAGACATCTCACTACAGGGCGGGGCCGTGTCACACTTTTCGAGTTGATGCAGTCCGCTGTTCTTTAAAGACCACAGTCCCTGTGCTTTCACACACGTCAACACTCAAACACAGACACGCTGAGAATGAGGCTTTGATCTAAGATGACTGACATTTCTTCTAAGAATTTTAGGAGTAGAAATGAGTCAGACTTCTAAAGAGAAGGACACATGGAAAACTTAGGCCTGAGGAAGCAGAGCCAGATGGGCCTGCCAACAACGTCCCAACACTCAGAAGGTGTCTTCAACAGCCAAGTGCGCACCCCGTGGGCCCCGTCACCTCCATGTCATGATCTAGGTCGGGCAATAAAACAGCGCGGCCTTAAAAGCCAAAACTCAAGTTCCTGTTTCATCTGTTGAAAGCAGGACTGCTGGGCCGGGCGCGAGGGCTCACGTCTCAACCCCAGCACTCTGGGTGGCAGAGGCAGGAGGACGGCTTGAGCCCAGGAGTCTGAGACCAGCCTGAGCAACATAGTGAGACCTCATCTCTACAAAAAAATCAAAAAATTAGCCGAGCATGGTGGTGCGCACCTGTAGTCCCAGCTACTCAGAAGGCCGAGGCGGAGGGATCACCCAGGAGGTCGAGGTTGCAGTGAGCTGTGATGGTGCCACATTCCAGCCTGGGCAACAGAGTGAGAGTCCAGCCTTAAAAAAAAAAAAAAAATAGCCCAGGAACACTGGACAACCATGTCACTTCTCTGGGTCTCAGCTACTGCCAAATGAGGTCCTACTTACCAGGGTTTTCATGAGAAACAACTGAGATCACATACCTGGAACAGCTCTGTACCTATAAAAACAACACGATGCCAGAATGTGTGCACTTTTCTATTAGCTTCTTTGACTACACTGAAGAATAATTCTGAATATTCATTCATTCATTCATTCATTATTTTCTTCCAAAAAGCTGCTGGCAGAAGCCTTTGAACATAGAAGTGCCATCCTGAGTATTTTGTGCCGTTATCTAAGGTGACAATCTGCATTCCTCACTGAGACTCATTCACAGTGGAAGAGAAATTTGGGCAAACTGCATGGTACCCATTCTAGTACCACACATTCAAAGAAGACTCAATAAAACCTAAACACAGGAAATAAGGGAACAAGCCAAGTGATAATCACATGCATTTCTTCTTCTGTTTTTAAATTAAACAATTACAAACATCTTCAATCAAATCACAAGGAAACTCAGCGGACATATATATTATCATAACAGTAAAAATAAATTATATGAGTGACACTATACTGTTTTCAAAGCATTTCACACATATCATCATAGAAATACAATAAATGCCATTCTGTTTGTTCACAAGAGTATTCTAACATGCATATACAACTTCCACTCTTGGCCAAGTCCCTTTACTTGTGTCCAAGATAAAAAATAAAAGAGTTAGACTACATAATAGATAAGCTTCCTTTTTAAAGCTCTTATATTTATGATTTTGATTCTATTTTCATTCTATGGTTACAAAAAGAGCATAAAACATATTAATGAAAAGAACACTTATAATTGCAAAATATAAGTTTATTAGAAATAAATATACTATTTTACGGTGACTTTTTAAAATCATATAATTAAAATTGTGTATCAAAACAGCCAGAAAAATGGAACAATGGTATTTTACAGTTAAACTTCCTAGTGATTTCAGAATTATAGGATATTTCCAAAAAATCAGAGAAACTACATATACTAACATAGAGTTACAGTTCGTAACTATCAATATACCATACACAATGCAATTCAAAATACACACACTACTAAAATTCATTCGATCTCTTATAGTTCAAAAAATACTTTAGAAAATTTATGTCCTTCAGAGATAAACTGAATATCCACTATAAAGATATAATATTATAAACATAAATAAAATAATTTCAACTATTTAAGGCTTCTGTCTCGGTATAAGAAAGCATCAGATTCTGTACAAAGCAAATAAAACCACTAGTAATCATGTTCTTCAGAGACTCCAATGGAAAAAGCAAAGTTTTAACAGTAAACTGTTTATGAAACGGTTCACCAAGCACCTACTATTTGCAAAGTGCTATGAAATCTGTGCCTACTGCTTCCTTCAAAATGAGATCAGCTCCTCCTTTTCCTAAGTATAATACTGAAAATCCAGGTGGGAATAATAACACAGATAGCAAAAAAAGGGTTGTTGTTTTTTTTTCTTCCACCAAGTCTACCACCTAACAATTTCAAAATCAGAATCAGTCACGTATCCAAGTACAGATAAAGATATAGAGCACCGCTTTCCGTGCACACAACCCAAATGTGCTTTTAGTCATTTTTTATAGGAATGGTAACAGATTGGTTATAACCTGACAGATGGTATGAGGGGAGAGTTCCATAGGCATGAAATACAATGAAGACACTACCACACTGGGGCTTACATATTTTAAATAAGTAAACAAAACAATGGAGCTGTATAAAGCTGTAGAGACCAACAAAAATGTTGCTTGGGAAAGTTGAGAACTGGGAGTCTGGAGAGCATCCTGGTGCTCGACAGCTCCGTGATCTGAAGAGACAACCACCACCTTTGGAAGTCTTCTACCATCAGGTGCCTTGGGTAAAGTATCAGAATTCCTAGATCCCTCCTCACTCATCTGCAAACTTATGGAACAGGCCTAGGATTCAAAGAGCATCTGAGTCAGTGGTTCTCAGATTTGTCAGTGCAGCTTCCTGATGTCGTTCCCGATGATTCAGGATGTCTGGGCTGGAACCTAGGAAGCTGAACGTTGACCACAGAAATACGCTGGTGGGTCTCAGCCAAGCTTGAGAGACACTACTCAGATGACTCTAAGGCGCCTAGAGCGTAACACGATACTCCTCGTCTCAGCACCAAGCTCTTAGGAATTCAAGATCTAGCACAGTGTTCAGGACACAGTGATGCTACACAAACACTCACAGAGAGGACAAAGGGAAAGAAGAGGAAGGAACAGGCAAAGAAAGAAGCGGGGAGGACGAGAGGAGGCTGGCTAGCTAACTGGCCATATCGTTGGCGAAGAAGCACACAAACGTAGCAAGACTGGACTTGGGAAGCACACACAACATGAATCAACAGCTGGAAAGCAAAGACCTTAGTCTCTACAGACAATTTTACATATCACATGAACACCTGTCATCTTCTCCTCAAGAAGCTGCAAAGCACTAAGGAGGAAAAGGAAGAAAACAGCACCGAGGCGCCCAAAGGAATTCTGACAGAAAAGTACTGAATGGCTAAAACTTGGTAATGGTTTTCCCCAGGTAGAAGAGAACACAGAATCTCACAGCAGGTACTTGGAATCAGGACTGAAGTCTGAAGTCACTGGTTACTCATATGTGCAAATTACATTTGGGATAACATATGGATTCCAGAAACGCTGTCGGCAATGCTGATTTCTGTCCATTTTTATCTGCATTTTCCCATTCACTTACATTATAATTTTTGAGATGTTTTATCTTCACTTCTGATGATCTTCAAATGTCAATGGCTCTTAACACATTAACTGAAAACAAACACAAAGGAACTTAGGGGGATTCAGCAATTTAAGAAAACCTAAAGTATTCTAAATTACTATGTAACGCCTGCAGGGAAGGGAGGGGTGGGGAGGCTTGGGCATTACATTGACTTGCTTCATAAGTTACCTTATCTTTAAAATGTAAAACTGCTCTTTTGAATGAAATGATACTATTCTCTTAATCATCAGTAAAGGGGCAAAAAAGGCAAACTATTTTCTATCAGAAGAAAAATATATTCAAAGCTAGACAAAATTCTCTCCAAATATGGACCCTCAATGCGTGAATGCACCGTGCACCTGTGTCCTTCTCCAGCCAAGGTAAAGTCCTCAATGTGCCCAGGGACTACCCTGAGCTACAGGGCTCTGGCCTGGACCTGGCACCAGATCTTCAGGCGTGATCCGTTCTTTGCAGCCCACAGAGCCTGCAGTCAAACAGTCTCAACGTCAATGTCAAACTGCTCTCTCTAATCTTCAGTTTTCTAATCTGTAAAATGGGAACATTAATACTGTTTACTTTATACAGTTATGAGGACCACATGAGAAAATGCATAGAAGGGATTTAGCACCATGTCTAGTACATAGTAAACATGTGATAAATATTAAGTGCTATTATTATTATTGTTGTACTTAATGTTAATACTATTAATTTAATTAATTTATTACTATAATGGTCTACTAATTGGAAAGCACGTCTTATCTCAAGTGTTTCTATACTGGGGTACTGTCTTTGGTAATAATGGGAGAATGTTAACTGATACTAGTAACAAAGGACAGCAGTACCATACAAATTCTTTGTTTTTTTCCCCCAGGACTTATTAGGAACACTCAGTTTGAAATTGTGATCCCTACCTTTGCTGGCTCAGCTCAAGAAAATTAAGGCTTGTAACCATGCCTGTCATCAGCCAGTTATTTTCCCTCTGGCTGAGGCACAACCTCCTGACATAGCCTCCTCCCTGCTTGAACAGCAGCTCACTCGCTGCTATCAGTATAAGCAATTCTGCTGAGAAGAGGAATGGCTGTGACGTACGCCTGTCAAACCCTCGAAGCCGATGGATCAAAGTTTTATCAATCCAGAGGAGACTGATCTCCCCTCCTCTGCCCACTCCCAAATGATTAAACGCCTGATGTTTGAAACTACATGCTCAAAACATTAACATTTAAGTTACTGACAAAAGAATACATAAGACACTGATTTCCCTAGATTTTCAATAAAATTTTTAGGTCAAGGATACAAAAACACACACAAAATGCTGGCAGAGCATTCACAAACTAAAATGGTCTAAAATGGTCAGCTTTATTTCCTTTATGGAGAACATACCCTTAGAAACAAAATGAGAGAAAGGACCTAAGTAGAACCAGATGAGGTATTCTAGGACATAAAACCCACGGATACAAGGCTTAGAAACAGACGTCCAGATGGAGAGACAGAGTTAAGGCATCCCTCACCATGTGACTCTCTGAGCTCTTAACATGGAATTTTAAGATAGCACAGCAGTCATTCTTCACTTGACTTCTATTGGCCCATCACTGAAGGATATAGCAATTATTAAATGTGTCTCTCTCACGTTATAGTTCTAGGTTAGGGTTATAAAAATCTGGCCCAAGACAAGACACAAAAAAGTGAAAGTTGAAAGGACAAAAGTCCAAAACAGAGTCACTTTAGCTAAAGAGCAGTCACTTTAAATGGCTCAGTTCTGTCATGTTTTCTTGGCAAATTACCTAGTTTGCTGTCTAATCATTAGCCAAGGACAGAACTGGTTTCCCAGAGGTAGCTACTGATAACTATCCTGCAACTCCCCAGGTACTGATTGCCTTGCTATTCCAAGTATTTGTCTCCCAGTCATAAGGCAGACCTACGTGACCTAGTGACACACAGACTCCATCACCATAGCAACAGCTCCTGTGCTACCTGTCCCCTTCGTGATGATGTAAAACAGTCCACCACCCAATCACCTTAACAACCTACCCACACCAAAGGAAAGCCTTAAAAGCATTCAGCCTCAAGCAGTCAAGGCCAAGCTTTTCTTGAAGCTCCCACCCCCTCTCTAATCTTGGGGACATGAATCTCCTCTCTCTCTCTAATCTGCTTTCTAAATAAACTATATCTTTCGATTTAATTTCTTTGCATCTTACCTGCAGCAATGGCTCCACACTCTGGCCCACTGACCTGAAAGTCTCAAAGACCTTAAAAAAAACTCAGAGTTCAGAGTGTTCTGGGCTACAGTTCTCTTCCCAGGTCTGCTACAATACGCGACCTTCCTCTTTCAGTGTTTTCTGTTTGGGCCACTGCATTTGCATATCTAAGAGTACCTCTGGCAAAGGGAGTGGTTACAGACTGCAAGTGGAAAATGTCCTTCTTGCTTTTGTCTTTGTTTGCTTGCTTGTTTGTTTCCTTCTTGCTTTTAAGTGATTTGTTTATGTACAATAGAAAAAGCTGTTAATGTATCCAATGCCCTTTCTCTTATTCCTTAGTGACAGAACCTCCCATTTTTAGCTCAGTATAAGGCCTCCCAGAGAGACCTTATTCTAGCCTCCCTTGTGGTTAGGTACAGCCGTGGGACCATATTCTAGCCAACTGGATATAAGCTAAAAAGCTACGTGTGACCGTCAAAAAAGTATCCTTTAAAAAGAGGGAGTACGCCCTTCTTCCCTCCTCCCGAAGATGCAATGGCTGGAGCTCCAACAGGGTTCTGGTTCACGAGGCAACCCAGGACTGTGAGACAGTAACAATCTGGGTCCGTGATACTTCACATCTACCCGACCAGAGCTGTATTAACTATCTCTGGGCTTCCAGCAAGAGAAAAAGAAATAAACATCACATGTTTTATGCCACTGCCTAGTTTGAGTGCTCTGTTATACTCTGCTAAACAAAAACTCTACCTTTGAAAAAAGGAATTTTCCAAATGACAGTATTTAGATTTTTTTGAAGTGTATCTATGAAAACATATTTTTGAAGTTAATTTTTGTTTTGTTTTGCTTTGTTTAAGACAGGGTCTCACTCTGTCACCCAGGCTGGAGTATAGTGGCATGATCCTGGCTCACCACAGCCTCAACCTTCAGGGCTCCAGCAATTATCCCACCTCAGCCTCCCCCCAGCAGCTGGAACCATAGCCATGCACCACCAAGCCTGGCCAATTTTCGTTTTTGGTTCCACACACACACACACACACACACACACACACACACAGATGAGGTCTCACTATGTCAACCAGGCTGGTCTTGAACTCCCAGATACAAGTGATCTCTCACCTAAGCCTCTGAAAGTACTGGGATTACAGGTGAGCCACTGCACCTGGTTGAAAGTTAATTTAAAATATATTTAAAACACAGTATCTGCCCTTACTTAATTCGAACTAAAAAGTATTTAAAGAGTCCAAGAGTTTATTCATATGAAGTAAACAGCCTTTGCAAGAATGAAAATTCATCCGTGATTACTGCCATGGGTCCCATGAACCTAGCGAAGGAATAACGATGAAGCTTGCTCATTCATGGTCTACCGAGGTGACAACACTGGTGCAAATACAGAAACATGTCAGAAGGGATAAGCACAATTAATTCTGTGTAACAAAGCTATAGGAAAGGGAATTGAAGCCATTATTTTCATTAAGAGGGATCTTTCACATTCCCTTTATTTTAATAACTTCAAAGCAAAGTCACCTTTTTTTTAGAGTTCCACTTTTAACCTGACTTCTCAGGAGAGAAGGTTTACAACAATCACTCCCTATCTTTGACTATCATCTCACTAATACTGTTTAATACTATCCACTGCCGTAACTAAGTCATACAGTAGACACAAAGATAGCAAGTGCTTCACATATCCAAAACCATTTTTCTTAAAAAGGAAAAATATTCCATGCTAAAATCTGGAGAATTTCTACTACTCACATCCTGAATCACATGCAATCTTTGGCCTTGGTGATTTTGAATACAATAGCATTAACTTGGAAACTTTCCAAAATAAACTTACTGCTTTCTGGGCATCTGTATCCAGGTTATTTCCCTCCTTTGGCTATAATCTGGATTTTATTGGCTCAATTGATGGCCTCCTAAGATTGCTTTTTTCTTTCTTTCTTTTAAAGTTTGCTTCTTTATAACACCGTTGGTCCTTGAACAACACGGGGGTTGGGATATTGCCCAGCCCTTCCCCTGAGCAGCAGAAAAGACATGTATAAGTTTGACTCCCTAAAACTTTTACTAATAGCCTACTGTGGACTGGAAGCCTTACTGATAACATCAACAGTCAATGAACATGTATTTATCAGGTAACATGTTTTATACACTGTATTCTAACAATGAAGTAAGCTGAGAAGAGAACATGAATTATAAGGAAGAGAAAATATATCTACCTTTCACTAAGCGGAAATGGAGCATCATGAAGCTCATTATCCCCATCTGTTGAGTGGGCTGAGGAAGAGGAGGAGGAAGAGGAGGGGTTGGTCTTACTGTCTTGGGGTGCAGAGGCAGAGAAGAAAATCCACCAATGCGGGATCCAAGCAGTTCCAACCCGTGTTGTTCAAGAGTCCGCTGCACTTCTTTTTATTTTTTATTTTTATTTTTATTTTTTTGAGTTGGAGTCTCACTCTGTCGCCCAGACTGCAGTGCAGTGGCCGCTCCCGGCCACCACAGCCTCGACCTGCTGGGTTCCGGCGATCCTTCCGCCTCAGCCTTCCGAGTAGCCGGAATTACAGGCATGCGCTAACACGCCCGGCTGATTTTTTGATTTATTGTAGAGATGAGGTCTCGCTGCCCAGGCGGGTCTCGAACCCGCGGGCTCAGGCAATCCACTCACCTCAGCCTCCCAAAGGCGCGGGATTACAGGCTGAGCCACCGAGCCCGGCTGCACTTCTTTTTAAACCCTCATTTCCACTCATCTATTTCACTAAGGATCTGTGTCTAAGAAAAGGCCTAAAACATGTAGTATGATTTGTGCTACTCATGACTGAGAAAGAAAAACCTCAGGAAATTTCCCAGAAATCAGACATAATAAATCAGCAAGA